GCAGTGTTTGAGTTCGAGTCGGCTGCCCGGCAGTTCATGGTGAGCACCCTGCGCATGGCCAAGAGCTTCCGACCCAAGCAGCTCTGGGGGTTCTACCTCTTCCCTGACTGCTACAACCATGACTACAGCAAGAATAAGGAGAGCTACACCGGGCAGTGCCCGGACGTGGAGAAGACTCGCAACGACCAGCTGGCTTGGCTCTGGAGGGAGAGCATGGCCCTCTACCCCTCCATCTACCTCGACTTGCTCCTGGCCTCCACCCCCAACAGCCGCAAGTTCGTGCGGGCGCGGGTGATGGAAGCCATGCGCATCTCGCAGCAGCACCACGACAGCTACTCCCTGCCTGTCTTCGTCTACACCCGGCCCACCTACATCCGCAAGCTGGATGTGCTCAGCCAGGTAGGGCTGCACCACCGGGACATCCTTGTCCCAGACCCTGGGCACCTGGGCTCTGGGGTCAGCTGAGGTGGTCCCTTTGCCTGTGTCCCATCTGGCCCATAGAGTAGAATGGCTATGGAGGCTGGTGGCTGCTCTCATGGTGTCACCAGCATGCTGTGGTTTGGCTGTCACTGTGTAGGGTGGGGAGCAGCATCTGTTGGCATGGGGCTGGCCCTGGGGACCAGGAGGGGTGCAGTTGGACCCTGGAGTACATGAGCCTGCAGCTGCTGCGCTCTGCTGGCTTAGCCCCTGAGGAGGAGGGTGGTGATGGGGAACCTTGTCCTCAAGGAGCTGGGACAGTCCCCTCTCCCTGTGGTCTGGAGCAAGGATGGGTCTCGCCTCCCTGACCCCTCTGTGGGCTCTTTGGGGCACACTGTGCTGGGGAGTGTGGGTGCTATGTGGTCTGTGGGCACTAACCAGGCTCTGTCCCCACAGCTGGATCTGATCTCCACCATCGGAGAGAGCGCGGCACTGGGTGCAGCCGGGGCCATTTTCTGGGGTGATGCAGACTACACCAAAAACCGGGTAGGTTTGGGGTCAGTGTGCCTCTGGGAATGTAGAGGATGAGTGGGGGTCACTTGCCTCCAGAGGGGAACCAATGGCTTGAGGCTGGGGTATCCTCTCCATCTGGAGTGCTTCTTTCCCTGATGCCCCCCAACATGCCCCTGATGCTTCCCTTCACCCAGGACTCGTGCCAGATCATCAAGAACTACCTGGAGGGGGACCTGGGTCGCTACATCGTGAACGTCACGACAGCAGCGCAACTCTGCAGCACGACGCTGTGCCATGGCCAGGGCCGCTGCCTGCGCCGAGATGGCACCGCTGACGTCTTCCTCCACCTCAACTCCACCAGCTTCCAGCTGCGGCGCCGGAATGAGGACCACCCCCAGCGCCCTCTCTTCTGGGCTGAGGGCCAGCTATCCTCTGCTGACACCCTCTTCCTACGGACCTCTCCTACCAGGGCTGGCAGGGCAGCAGCTGCCAGGTGCCCGCTGACCCCCACAGTGATGCCCCTGACCCTCTGGTACCACTGGGACTTGGGGTGCTGTTGCTGCTTGCAAGCTGGTGCCAACCCCTTCTGGACTGAGCTTGCACCCCCTTTCTGTGGTGGTGTAGGTTTTTTTTTCCCTCCCCTGCCTGCGAGGCAGCTTGTTATGGGGGGCTGCCCCTCACTGTGGGGGGAGGACTGTGTGCTTTCCCCACCTCTGCCCTCTCTGCTGCAGGGCAGGTGCCCCCCATGGGGACGGAGGGCAGGGTGGCTCTGGGGAGGGGCCCTCTCCTGTTGTAAGGAGAGGGAGGGGGACAGGGAGCGGGTGCTGTGTGGTGCTGAGTCCCTCTGTGCTGCCCCACACCAAAGTGCTTTACCTCGAATAAAGCTGGGCCGAG